CCGCTCTCTCGCTCTCTATCAACCGCCATGGCCGAAAATGATGACGAGGACGACAACGGTGACGACGATGACGAAGAAGAAGAAGAAATCTCTCTCTCTCTCTCTCTCTCTCTCTCTCTCTCTCTCTCTCTCTCTCTCTCTCTCTCTCTCTCTGTGTGTGTAAAAAAAAAAAAAATGAACATGTGCAAAACGAAGAAGAAGAAGAAGAAGAAGAAGAAGAAGAAGAAGAAGAAGAAGAAGAACAATGAAGTAGAAGAACAGTGAAGTTGTTTTGATCCTGGCCAATTTCGAAATACACATTCATCAGAAAGTACAATGCCATCCACTTGCAAAATTAAATGAATGAACTTGAGAGGAGAGAGAGGGTTAGAAGAAGAAGAAGTAGAAAGAAATAAGAAGAAGTTTATGTACACCAGCATAGAGGAATGAGAATGCTCTTCTTCTTCGCCAATCACTCTCCTCCTCCTTATCTCCTCTTCTCTTATTCACACAAGAAATAATAATAAAATGTTGAATGGCTGAACCAGAATCAATGTCCGAATCCCTCTTGTACTACAGGTATCACTTGAGGTCCACCATAGCCATGGGTGCCTCTCTTCCTCCTCTAGGCCGAAGCTATGGCGGACTACCAGGGCATGACCCTGCTGGATGAAGGACAACAGACAATAGCTATGGCTGCTCTAGCTCAGGCCACCATGCCTGACTCTGCCTCGAAGCTTCTTGGTGTAGCTTTGCCCCGACGGGCCTTCCTGCTGCAGCGCCCACCAAGTGATGAAGATGGCTGCCTCCATAGCCAGGTAAGTATCTTTGGCACTCCTCCCTAGTCCTGGTCTTCCTCCTCCTTCGTGTCCATGATTGCTCTAGCTCAGTCCGCCGTACCTGACTCTGCCTCGAAGCTTCTTGGTGTAGCTTTGCCCCAACAGGCCTTCCTGCTGCAGCGCCCATCAAGGTGATGAAGATGGCTGCCTCCATAGCCAGGTAAGTATCTTTGGCACTCCTCCCTAGTCCTGGTCTTCTTCCTCCTTCGTGTCCATGATTGCTCTAGAGATGGCTGCCTCCATAGCGAGGTAAGTATCTTTGGCACTCCTCCCTAGTCCTGGTCTTCTTCCTCCTTTGTGTCCATGATTGCTCTAGCTCAGGCCGCCATACCTGACTCTGCCTCGAAGCTTCTTGGTGTAGCTTTGCCCCAACGGGCCTTCCTGCTGCAGCGCCCATCAACGTGATGAAGATGGCTGCCTCCATAGCCAGGTAAATATCTTTGGTGCTCCTCCCTAGTCTTGGTCTTCTCCTCCTTCGTGTCCTTGCTCCTTCCCAGCAGCGCTGCTGAATGCTAGTGCTGCTCCAGCCAGGGCTCCAACCAGTGTGTTGCCAAACTTGCACACCGACAATGAGGCCGGGCTCTTTGCTCGGCCTGGAGATATAGCGGCCTACTTGCCTCTTTCGCGGTGACTTCCAGGCCGCTCGGGCTTCCAAGCAACCGGTACCTGACCGTACCTCCTCCCTTTCAGAGGGAAACATCATTGCAAGCTCTAATATGGCCCTTATAGGCCCTAGGCTCAGACTGGTTGGACTGGTACCAGCCTAGACCTAGCCTACAAATACTGGGCCTCTAAAAATGCCAACTTTTGTCTTTTTCTGCTCGGCCTCGAGTACCCGGCACATCTACCTGTAAAGGGTGTGGTACCATCCTACCTGCTACTTGAGTGTTTTCCCGCTGCTTCAAGTGTTGCGGGCCTCTTTCCCCACCACTTGAGTGTTTTCCCCGCTGCAATCCTCAATGTCATCACAGGTAAGTGCTGGCCCTTCGGGCCCAATGAACGAACAAGTGCCCTTGCGGGTCACATACACACTCAAGCCGACAAGCACTCAGACTGACATGCAGACCAGCAAGTGTGCACACACACAGACTTAGAGAACTCAACGGCAAGCGGGAAACTCGGCAAGGCATTCAGTCCATGAGCAGAACTCTGAAACCAGTTGTGTCTCAGTCCGTGTTCGGTCAGGTCATTACACTACCCCCCCCTTAAGAACGAGGTCCCTTCGAGCAAGTAACTCACTCTCAGTCTTCGACAAACGCATCGTAAGCAAACAAAGCAAATAGATCTCGAGAGTACTCTGTAGCAGTGAGCTTGGCAGATATTTTAGGTACAACATTAGAGGTGATTTGTCACTCATAGGCTTTAACAAGTGAGGTAAGCTGCGCCGCAGCTCCTTCTTGGAAATCCAGTAGAGATCGTTCAACGGGTGATACATAAAGTGAACCTCGTACTGTCTGTTCTGTCCCTTCCCTACGTGCTGTTTGATTCTATCTATCTCATGACCGTCATTTGTCGCACGAGGAATCATGTCTTTATGAAAACCGAAGGACTTAGCATCAAAGACGGGGTATGTGTGCAGATGAGGCGGCGCAACAACTGTATACGAGGGGCCAAACCCATCCTTGCCAATCACATGCAGAACTTCCCACGGGCCGTAATAGAGTGGGAGAATTTTGCATGACACTCCCTCTTCTCATGAAAATTCAGACATCTTGACCCAGACATAACTTCCCACTTTAATATACGAAGGTTGGCGTTTCTTGTTCGCATGATGGATCATTGCATGTTATCGCTTGGTCATCGATGCGATGGCAACCTTGAGCAAGCGATCATACTTGGCACTGAAGCCAGGCCTGTCGGTCGTTAAGTTAGCTGGTTGTTCAAAGAATGAGTAGGAGAGCGGATTACGAATCTGCCAACCGTAATGCAGCCTGTTCGGCGTCATGCCAGTGGAAGAATGGATGAGGTTGTTGTACAACGCCTTGACTGAATACAACTCTTCATTCCATGTTTCCCGATCCGGAATGATTAAAGTGCGGAGAAGTTGGAACATAGTCTGGTTGATCTCCTCATCCAATCCGTTGGCTTCGGGATGTCGGCCAGATGTCATGCATAGCTTGAGGCCAGGGAGTTGGGACGTGAAGTCCTTCCATTTCGTGCTTATGAAGCGCGGGTCCCGATCACTCACAAGAGTTTTTGGGGTTCTGAACTGCAAAATGTACTTTTGTTCGAACTCACAGATCACAAGGTTAGTTGGGTCATGAGATGGCAAGCGAATCAGATTGAGGAATTTAGAAAAGCGGTCAACAACGTCGATAGAGACAGACTCCCGGAGACCATTGGGAATGGGAAAAGGTGTAAGTAGCCCCATGGGCTCATGGTTGGGTACACACAAACGGTTATTTTTTCCATAGCGTTAGAAAACTCGTCCTCCATATTCGTGAAAATCAGGCTGATTACTGGGACCAGGCCGCAACTATTCAAGGATTGGATTAAGGTTCGGGTCTTTGGCAGTGTGATCTACGATCTCCTCCTCCAGTTTCTTCCGGATGTCGTAGGAGTTCACCATGTACTCGAGATGGCTAGATAATGCATCAGCGACTCGATTCTAACAACCCTTATGCATTTCAGTTCAAAATCGAAAATGTCAATCTCATGGAACCAACGAGTTAATGTAGGGGATAATGTGGTTTGTTCTTTAATCCACTTCAAAGTCACATGATCGAAGAACACTTTGAAGTGGCGTCCCGAAAGATAGTGCTTCCTATGATCCAAAGCCATACTCGCGCATGTAGGTGGAAGTAGATACCTTTTCGTTAAGCATGCGTTTCCTATAGTACTCGAGCGGCCGCAAACCATCGCCATCATTTTGTTGCAGCACTGCGCCAATCCCATACTGGCTCACATCCGTAGTAACGACGAATGTTAGCTTGGAGTCAGCAATGCGGAGTACAGAGTAACTTACCAAGGCCTCTCTCAAGGCTTGAAATGCAGTCTCACATATTGCATCCCACGTGTAAGGTACGTTCTTACTTGTTAATCGGGACAACGGGCGAGCAACAATAGAGAATCGGGGCACAAACTTTCGATACTATGATGTGAGACCAGGGAAAGAATGTTGTTCACAGATGTTCGTGGGTTGAGCCCAGTCGCGTATGGCCTCAACCTTGGTTGCCTCTGGCTCTAGGCCTGCAGCAGACAACCGATGCCCAAGATTGATGACGCTATCCTTCCCAAACTCATATTTCTCTAAGTTGAGATGGAGTTGCGTTTTCTTGAGGATAGTGAACACTTCCTCAAGGTGCTTCATGTGTTCCTCGATGGATTTGCAGATCAGAATATCATCGAGACATACCGCCACAAACCAACTAATTTGTTCGCAGAGGACCTTGTCCATAAGACTTTGAAAGGTGGCCGGTGCATTCGTGAGACCGAAGGGCATTACGGTAAATTTGTAAAGCCCATCGCGTGTCTTGAACACAGTCTTGTGCTGGTCCGCAAGATCGACTTCAGTCTGGTTGTATCCAGACTTAAGATCGATCTTAGAGAAGACCTTGCACGTACTTGCAACATAAAGTCATCTATGTGTGCCAATAGGTATGCATTCTTCCTTGTGATGCGATTTGGACCGTGATAATCAATACACATATGGAGTTTGTCTTTTTTCTTTGGGACAAACAAAACGGGTGCACCAAATTCAGATTTGCTAGGCTTAATCCACCCTTTATCGATCATCTCATTGACCTGTTTCCACAATACCTCCAACTCGCCAGATCCCATATGGTATACACAACCAATTGGAGGAACAACACCTTCGACCAACTCGATCACGTGCCGGACCAATCGCGTGGGAACTCCACGTGGTTCGACCAAAACTTATGGAAATCGGTCGAGTAGGCTTTGAATGCGTGTTGGGACCGGTGGGGGTGGAGGATCAGCAAAAGGATCAGCTAGATCAGGTCACAGATTACGAATGGAGGCAACCGAATCTGAAGTAAAGTCATGTAAACCAAAGGTAGGTAGAGAAGTAGAAGTGTTAGAAGTAGATTCATTAGGTTACGTAGAACTATTACTAGCCGCAAAAGGAGTAGGCACATGCGTAGGGTGAACGAAGGCAACATACAATTGTTCATCCTCTTTGTGCTTGCGTCACTTCTTATAGAACTGCATGGCATTAAGAAAGATCACCAGGGAGTCAAGCTTCTCATCCAAGAGGAGGGGACGCTCGTTCCTTTGTGCATCTTTGACCATGAAAACTGGTTCCTTCCACTTGGCTCATTTGCATTGGGACTGCAACCAGCCCAAACCGAGGACTGTGTCGAAGGGACACTTGTCAAGGACATAGAAGTTCAATACGTGTGTGATAGTCTTTTCTTTGTTAAAGGTAGTGCGTACACCTTTGACTACATGCGTGGATGAGACAACCTCTTTGTTGCCTACTTGACTGTGGCAAGGGCTCTGCAAAGCCACTTGCTTCATCCCCAAGCCCACTTTTTGTATTCGATGCGGTGACATGAAGTTAGTCGTAGCACCACAATCAATCAAGACATGAAAATAACGGTGGTTGATGAGAAGTTTGCAAAAGATCAACTTTATTGTCCCTTGAGCACGCTGTTGTTTCATCTCAGCCCAATGCTCTAGGTGATAATAAAAGCCAACCTTCTCTGACTCCTCCCAAGGCTCAACATACAAAACATTATATTCATTAGCCTTGGAATCAGCAGAAGATGGGGCTTCAAGGGAGGACTGTTGATCTGCATCAGGTTCAGTCTCCCTTGCCATATAGGATGTTGATGTCAACTCTATGCCCGATTTTGGTTTCCTTGCAACCTATAACAATCTTGTACTTTGTGGTTTGGTTTCTGGCAATGCAGGCATAACCCTTTCTTGAGCCTAATCCTCCAATCATTTTTAGTGATCCAAAGGTCAACCCAATGTTTGGCGGTTGCATCCTCTAGTTTCGCTGGGATTTTGACTCCCTTGGGAAGTTGGACATAGTTCTTCCCTGAATTCCGGTTTGGTCCCTTTACATTGGCAGTCTTTCTAAAGACATTTAATTTGTTTTCTTCATTATTTACATCTGAGTCATGGGATGAAGAGGGACAGGCCGTGTCAGAGTCCTGTTTTTGGTCGTCACCAAGAGTGGGGTCGTCTGCATAGGCCTCCTCATTGACCTCCAACAAGTCATGCATAACAAAATGGTTGTTGCCTCTAAACCACCTGCCGCCAACGGGCTTTTTGCTGCGTGTTGTGGTAATAAGGTCTTGTGCCTCAAGGATAACCATATCCTGCGTGAGGGAAAGTCAGTTAGTGTAACCAATGAGCTTTTTGCCTATGCGATGTGTGTAGTTAGTGGGAACCGTACCTTTCATAATATCCAAGCATGATTGTGCAATCATTTTTAGTTGGGGTGTCGTAGAAAGTTTGTTGACAAACAACTACAGATTATGCATGGTGCCCATCCATTTGTTGCACTTGAAATTATCAAGCCTCTTCCTGGTTCTTGCAGTAGCATATGGATCCTTAAATTGTTTGATCATGATCTCCTCAAGTGTGGTTATTGGTGTGGCTTTGAGTCCTCAAGACAAAATCCCTTGAGGCTGCTTAAACCTCTTTCCATTCCCGACGATCCCGGAGAGTCTGTCCCTATCGACTTCACGGACGTGGGAAAGATAAGTTAGAATAGTTATTCGCGAGTGATGGTGATGGTTGATCACTTTTCTAAATTCCTCAATCTGATTTCATTGCCACCTCATGCCCCAACTGAAGTTGTGATTCGTGAGTTCCACCAGAAGTACATTCTGCAATTCGGAACCCCGAAAACCCTTGTGAGTGATCGGGACTCGCGCTTCTTAACTACTGAATGGAAGGACTTCACATCCCAACTCCAAACCGAGCATGACATCTCGCCGACATCCCAAAGCCAACGGTTTGGTTGAGGAGATCAACCAGACTGTGTTCCAACTTCTCCGTGCTTTAATCATTCCGGATCAAGAAATGTGGGATGAAGAGTTGTATTCATTCAAGGGGTTCTAGAACAACTTCATTCATTCTTCTACCGGCATGACGCCAAACAGGTTGCATTACGATTGGCAGATTTGTAATTCACTCTCCTATTTATTTCCTAAACAGCCAGCTGGTTTAACAACCAGCAGGTGTAACTTCAGTGCCAAGTATGATCGCTTGCTCAAAGTTGCCATTGCCGCAATGACCAAGAGATAACACGCAATGATTCATCATGCGAACAAGAAACGCCAACCTTCGGATATTAAAGAGGGAAGTTACGTCTCAGTCAAGATGTCTGAATTATCTAAGGAAGAGGGAGTGTTACACATACTTATCCCGCTCTATTTTGGTTTGTGGGAAGTTCGAGACGTGACTGGCAAGGATGAGTTCGACCCATCATACACAATTGTTGTGCCTCCTCATCTGCGCACATACCCAGTCTTTCATGCATCAAAACTGTATATATATCGTGATGTAGAGTCCATCGATTGTCGTGAAGACATGATTCCTCATGCAATCAAGGGTGTTCATGAGATCAATAGAATCAAACAGCACATAGGGAAGGGACGTAATAGAAAAGACCAGATCCATTTTATGTATCACCTGTGTGACGATCTCTATTGGATCTCACAAGAAGCAACTGTTGCGCAGCGCACCTCGTGTTGTTAAAGCCTACAAGCGACAAATAACCTTAAATGTTGTACCTAAAATCTCTGCAAAACTCGTTGCTATTGAGTACTCACGAAATCTCTTTGCTTTGTTTGCTTAGGACATGTTTGTCGAGGACTCAGAATGAGTTACTCGCTTGGAGGGACCTTACTCTTAAGAGGGGGGTAATGTAATGACCTGACCAAATACGGACTGAGACGCACAACCGATTTTTGAGTTTTGCTCATGGAATGAATGCCTTGCCGAGTCTCCCGCTTGTTACTGAGTTCTCTAAGTCTGTGTGTGTACACGCTTGCTGATCGGCATGCCTGTCTGAGTGTTTGTCAGCTTGACTGCGTTTGTGACCCGCAAGGGCACTTGTTCGTTCAGTAAGCCCGAAGGGCCGGTACTTACCTGTGCTCATGACATTAAGGATTGCAATGGGGGAAAACACTCAAGTGGCGGGGAAAGAGGCCCCGAAAACTTGAAGCAGCGGAAAACACTCATGTAGCAAGTAGGTCGTTACCACACCAGGTAGAGGCTGATGTGCCAGGTACTCAAGGCCGAGCAGAAGAAGACAAAAGTTGGCATTCTTAGAGGCCTTGTAGTTGTAGGCTAGGTCTAGGCGGGTACCAGTCCAACCAGTCTGAGTCGAGGGCCTGCACGGGCAATATCAGAGTCTGCAATGATATTTCCCTCCGAAAGGGAAGAGGCATCTGTTGCTTGGAGGCCGAGCGGCCTAGGAAGTCACTCGCCAAGATGCAAGCAGGCCGCTATATCTCCAAGAGGAGCCAGTTTCTCCTCATTGTCAATGTGCAAGTTTGGCGACACACTAGTTGGAGCGCTGGCTGGAGCAGCGCTGGCATTCAGCTGCGTTGTTGGGGAAGGAGCAAGGACAGGGAGGAGGAAGAAGACCAGGACAAGGAAGGGGAGCGCCAAAGGTACTTACCTGGCTATGGTGGTTGCCATATTCATCACCTTGGTGGGCGTTGCAGCAAGAAGGCCCCGTTGGGGCAGAGCTACACCAAGAAGCTTCAAGGCAGAGTCAGGCATGACGGCCTGAGCTAGAGCAGCCATAGCTGCTTTGCATGTTTAGTCGGGCGGTCGCTAGGTCACCTATTGTACAAAGACGCACGTGGCCGTATTTCGTGTGTAGGGCATGGGACTCATCACAATCCCGCAAGGGAAGAGAAAACATAGCATGTTCCAAAAGCGTTGTTGAGGTACGGAACGAGATCGTCCTGTCAAAATACATCGATTTCTCACTCGTGTCTTGGAACTATTTCTTGGTAATTTGGCTAATTTGAGAGTATATTCATAACGTATTTGGTTAGGAAGAGCTCTATCTTGACAAATGGCTTTATATTGCATGCATTTTAATTCATATTTAGCTACGAGCAATCTACTTGTCCTTTGGACAGCAGGGCGATGCCTTGGTAGTCCGCCATAGCCTCGACCTATGAGAGAGAAGAGAGAGAGGGGCAGCCATGGCTATGTTGGACCTCAAGTGATAACTGCAGTAGAAGAGGGAATCAGACATGGATTCTGGATTAGCCATTCAACATTGTTATTATTACTCTTGTTTGAATAAGAGGGGAGAAGATAAGGAGGAGGAGAGTGGTTGGCGAAGAAGAGCATTATCATTGATCTATTCTGGTGTACATCATCTTCTTCTTTTTTCTTTCTTCTTCTTCTTCTTCTTCTTCTTCTTCTTCTTCTTCTTCTTCCTCTTCTTCTTCGTACCCTCTCTCTCCCTCAAGTTCATTCATTTTTTTTTGCAATTGGACGACATTGTACTTTCTGATGAATGTGTGCTTAGAAATTGGCCAGGATCTATCTCTCTCTCTCTCTCTCTCTCTCTCTCTCTCTCTCTCTCTCTCTCTCTCTCTCTCTCTCTCT